ATCATCTCCTTGTTGGCTTCCGTAACAGCGACATATTCTGCTTCAGTTGTGGAGAGAGCAACTATCTTCTGTAGTTGAGAAACCCAACTCACTGCAGTACCTCCTAGAGTATAGACATACCCCATAGTGCTTCTTCTGATGTCAACATTTCTGGCTAAGTCAACATCTACATATCCTGTCAATATCGTATCTCCACCTTTGAAACAAAGTGCTTTGTTTGTGGTACCTCGCAGATATCTGAAGATCCATTTGACTGCTTCCCAGTGTACCTTGCCTAGATTATTCATGTACCTACTAACAGCTCCCACTGCATAAGCAATATATGGTCTGGTACAAACCATGACATACATCAGACTTTCAATTGTTGAGGCATACGACACCTTCACCTAGGGATGACAACGGGTCGGGCTAGGGTCGGGTATTGGTCCCCCCGTCCCCGTTTAAAAAACTCATCCCGTCTCCGCTTAAAAAACCACGAAGATTTAAACGGGGACCCCCATCGGGTAATCAGGGAAAACCGCAGGGAAACGGGTATCCCTGTTTAGCATAAACGAGTATTTAAACGGGTATCGAGCCGAGTATATATATTTAAATTAAATATATAAATAATATATATATATTAATTTAAATTAAATTTATTAATATTATATATATATAATAATTATTTTTAATATTTATCAGGGCGGGGATTACCAAATCTGTCCCCGTCCCCGTTTAACATAAGCGATTTTCCCCATTCCCGTTTAATTCGGTTTTTGGTTTTCCCCGTCGGGTTCGAGTTTTTTTGCAATCCCTACCTTCACCATGTGTGCACGTTCTTCCTCCGTGTTTGGTGACTGTTCTTTGGAGAGTCTAAAATGAACACCTAAAGGTGTACTTACTGGTTTAGCATCTTGCATGTTGAACCTGTAGAGTACTTTGTTGATGTACTCAGCCTGTGATAACATCAAAGTCCCCAACTTTGTGTCTCTTTTGATCCTCATCCCAAGAATCTGCTTTGCAGCGCTCAGATCTTTCATAGCAAACTGCTTCGACAATTTTTGCTTGAAGTTTATAATCTCTTGCATGTTTGAGCCTGCAACGAGCATGTCATCAACATACAACAATAAAATAATGAAGTTGTTTTCGAACCTCTTAATGTAGCAACAATGATATGCTTGGCATCTGGTAAAACCACTGCTACTCATGAAGTTATTGAACTTCTTATACCACTGTCTAAGAGCTTGTTTTAAACCATACAAGCTCTTCTTCAACCTGCATACCAGGTTTTTCTTGCCTGCCTCTATGAAGCCTTCTGATTGCCTCATATAGATTTCTTCCTCCAAATCACCATGAAGGAAAGTTGTCTTCACATCTAACTGCTCAAGATGTAAATTTTCTGCAGCTACAATTTTCAACACCAGTCTGATTGTAGACAATTTTACAATTGGAGAGAAAATTTCATTGTAGTCAATATCTTTCTTTTGCTGAAAACCTTTGACAACCAATCTTGCTTTTGTAGCGTTTTCTCCCCATCATGCTCTTCTTTGATCCTGTAAATCCACTTGTTGTGGAGCGCTTTCTTGCCTGGTGGTAATTCAGCTAATTCCCATGTCTGATTTGACCTATGCGAGTCCATCTCATCTTTCAGGGAAGACTCCCACTTGACTGAATCCTCCACTTGCATTGCTTCATCATAGCACTCTGGTTCACCATTGTCAGTCAGCAACAAGTAGTGCAAAGAAGGAGAATATTGTTGGGTTGGTTTAGGAATTTTGGAGGAGCGTCTTAGTTCTGGTGTACCTGGTTCTTCTTGAACTGCTTTAGGATTGATCTGAACATCATTTCTAGAAATCTCCTAGAACTCAGCAAATTCTTTTGTTTTAGCTTCGGTATTGGAGCTACTTGATTCTACAGTTGACCTGTCTTTGTACATCACATTCTCATTGAAAATGGCATCTCTGTTTCTGATGATCTTTCGATTTTCGTAGTCCCAAAACTGGTAACCGAACTCATCACCGCCATAACCAACAAAGGCACATTTGTTGGACTTAGTATCAAATTTACTTCTTTCAGCAGAGTCTATGTGTACATATGAAATACAACCAAACACTCTTAAGTGTGAAAGGTTTATTTCTTTCTCGCTCCAAACTTCCTCTGGTATTCTGCCATCCAAAGGAACTGAGGGCCCACGATTGATCAGGTACGCTGCAATGTTGATAGCTTCAGCCCATAGAAATTTGGGTAGTCCGGCATGTATCCTCATGCTTCTGGCATGTTCATTCAGAGTTATGTTCATGCGCTCTGCTGCGCCATTATGTTGCGGTGTCATAGGAACTGTTGTCTCCATCTTTATCCCATTGTTTGCGCAGAAATCTCTGAATCTCCTATTTCTGTACTCTCCTCCATTGTCAGACCTCAACCGCTTGACTTTCAGACCAGACTCATTTTCCACCATGGCCTTCCATTTTATGAAGGTATCAAAGACTTCTGATTTCTTCTTCAGAAAATAAACCCACACCTTCCTTGTAGAATCATCGATGAAGGTGACATAATATAATGAGCCTGCAAGAGATGAAACTGTAGATGGTCCCCATACATCAGTATGAACCAACTCTAACTTTTCAGCCTTGGGTGTCTTACCAATATTTGCAAAGTTGACTTTCTTTTGTTTGCCAAAGATGCAATCCTTGCATAGTCCGACATCTACATTCTTTAGATCCGGCAGCTTCCCTTTTGACAAAAGTGTCTTCATCCCTTTCTCGCTCATATGACCAAGCCTTTGGTGCCATAGGTTTGATTTTCCATCAGCATCTGCTGCAGCAATGATATTCTCTAAGTTTGTGGTTACATAGAGAGTATCAGTCTTCTTACCACGAGCAATGACGAGTGCTCCTTTGGTAATCTTCTATTCACAGCCTGTGAATATTGTACTATATCCTTCTCCATCAAGCTGTCCAACAGAAATCAAATTTCTTTTGAGGCCTGGAATATGTCTCACACCTTTCAAATTCCAGGTGGTCTGGTTTGGCAACTTTAGTCGGATGTCTCCTTTTTCGACGATCTTCAAGGTTTCATCATCAGCTAGATGAACCTTCCCAAAATCACCACTGACATAGTTCTCCATGATTTCTTGGCATGGAGTGGAGTGGAAAGATGCCCCTAAATCCAAGATCCATGATTCAATCGGACTGTTGACGCTTAGAATCATGGTATCACATGTCTCCTCTGTCACGTTGGCAGAATACTGTGCGCCGGTATTTTTTTTCAATACTAAGCAAACTCTTTTAAAGTGACCTTTCTTGCCGCAGTTATAACAGGTAAAATCTTTCTTTCCCGTTATTGATTTTCCCCTTTTGGATTTTGATCTGCCACGATTTTAATTTATTTCTGAAGTTCTCCATCTGGACTTTGTGTGCAAGGCTGAGGAGGTTGATGCTTCACCTGAATCTCTCCGTCGAATTTCTTCGCTCAATATCATATCCCGAACATCGTCGAATTTTAATTTGCTATTTCCCGACGAGCTGCTGACTGCTGTAACAGTAGCATTCCAACTGTCTGGTAGAGATGATAAGAGAATTAAAGCTCCAACTTCATCATCAAATTCAATTTCCACGAAACTCAACTGGGTTGTGATTGTGTTGAGTTCATTTAGGTGTTGTGCCACTGATGCCCCTTCCGCCATCCGCAAATTGAACAAATCGCCTCATCAAATGAACTTTGTTTGAGACTGATGGCTTCTCATACATACTGGAGAGAGCCGCCATAAGACCTGTCGTGGTCTTTTCCTTTGCTATGTTGAAAGCAACATTGCGGGATAACATCAGTCGGATAACTCCGAGGGCTTGTCTATCGAGAAGAGCTCAGTCTTCATTCTTCATGCCCTCTGGTTGCTTTCCTGAGAGCGGTTGATATAGATTTTTCTGGTATAAAAAATCTTCAATCTGGATCTTCCTAAAGCCAAAGTCCGCATCATCGAACTTTTCAATTTTCATCTTCCCTTCGTCTGCAGCCATCGCTCCCACTCGAATCTGGCTTCGTTTGAATCGTTTCTGACAATTCTTGCAAACCACCGTGTATTAAAACACCTCCGTCAATAAATTCGTATCGCCGACAAAATTATTACTATTCATATGAATAGTAATAAATAGTAACCTCGCAAAAAATTGACAAAATTCACAACCAAAAGCTCTGATTACCAGTTGTTGGAAAATAAACAAGTAACGAGTAATTTCCCTATAACCAGATTAGTGAGAATGCGAAATAAAAACGGAAAAATAATACCCAAAATTGATAACGGAGTTCAGGCAATTTGCTTACGTCTCTAGACTGTTGCAGATCTTTTACTAAGAGAGAAAATTTACAGGTATTTACAAAATACTCACTACTCACAAGAAATCTCTCTAGTATTGGGAGAAAGAAATGATTTTGAAGCTAAATGGGTTAGGGTATTTATAGTTGAAGCTTAGGGACTAATCTTTGAAAATACCCTAAAGTGCAATGACTAAAGTGTAATAAACCCATTTAAAAAATTCAAACTACATTTATTGCACCGAATTCGGTGGAATTCGATGCCCCCTCCTCAGCCGCACATTGTTGACTTTACAGGTGTCACACTTATATAAGTCACTGATTTGTATCAAGATTTTCTGGGTTACTGGCATGACACAAATGATGATGCCATATTCCCGGAACAATCAAAGTTCGATCCAAATAGATTCGAGAATCCAGCTTCGCTTCCACCTTATTGCTTCATTCCATTCGGAGGGGGACCTCGGATATGTCCGGGATACGAGTTTGCAAGGATTGAAACCGTTGTTTCGATTCATTATATGATCAATCGGTTCACATGGAAGTTATTATGTTCAGACAACAGTTTCAGCAGGGATCCAATGCCTGTCCCAGCTAAAGGATTGCCAGTTCAAATTAGTCCTAGGAAACTGCTCTGATATTTGAACCTCTTGGTCACTTGCTTCAAAGAAACTTGCAAGATTTCTGTTGCAGATCAAATGAACTTTATGTTGCTTCATTACTGAAAATGATTCCGGATTATGTTCCGATTGGTTTTCCGCAAATACTCGAATCAAAAGCATGTCACTAAACAAGCAGACATTACAGCTCCATACATAGAACTAATTTATTTGACAGAAAAAATGACTTTCATAGTTCTATCAGCATCAATTTCTGAAATCTCAACTCCTAGTCCGATCACAATATTTATGACCGATACTGATACCGAACTTCTTGTGGCATCTTGCGTACCATCAACTCGAAGTACATTAGATGAACTAAAAGCAGTGGTTGACCAATGTCTAGCAGTTTTTTGGCCTGAAGTACTTTGGTGGCTTAGAAGGACACCGTTCATTCATATGCGGGTACGAGTCCAGAGAATTAAATCCTGGTAGTTCCATCCGATACTTCCCCAGAATCTGACAATAGGGAAGTTTTACGTCATCTGCATCATTGCACCACTTTGGCAATCTGCTTGAATCATTCTCGAAAAACTTTAGAGTATAGGCATCTTTGATCTGTGTTTTTGGTTTATGTTCAGACAGAAAGAGTCAGCAATAAGGATTGGAGCATGGAAACAAGAAAAATTCAGTATTTTGGAAGAGAAATCCTACGATCTTAGACGAAGACTTTACTCAAAACAAGCTCACCGTGAAATCAGTGACTTGAATAGAATCAGCAATAGGATAAAAAAGTCCGGCCTCCTTGTACATTTCGAGGATAAAAGCAATGCACGAGGTTGACTTCCCATCACTATATATCCAATCATCTTGTTCAGGAATGGTCAGCAATCGATCAAATGATGGTCCGCGCTTTTCGGTTTCCACCAGTATATCAGAAAGATTAAGACCCTGAGTTCCAAGCCGCTTGTTTAATCCCTCATTCCACAAGTTAGCAGCATATTCAGGCTGCATTTGACTCCAAACTGTCATGGCAGAAGCTACCTGTATAATTGCACAGAAACATTCAGATCTTATGAACTGAAAAATTTACCAAGTCAGAGACGGCAACAGAGAGGGGAAGAGCCGTATGCATTGACAACATTGTTATATGCAAATGCAACAACGAAGAAAGCAGGGAAAACATGGAAGAACGAGAGTATGAGAACAACTAAACATCCACTATAAGTTTAACGTATTCGATGTAAATATCTAAATACCAGGTGAGCATCCAATGGAGGAGGATAATTCCCATCTATGGTGTCTATCCAGCTGAATAGCACGTTATGATAGCCATATGGTCTGCCTTCCATGCTTAGTGCATACTCCCAAGCTGCGGTCTCGTTAAACTTGGCTCGAACATCAGGATGCAAAGGAAGCAATGCAATATGGGGATTAGACTCATCCTTGTTCAGCACGAAATTCCACCATTCTTCCCATGGATTAATGGCAATGATATCTTCTCCCTACATCAGAGGAAAGATATGTTACTACTCGGTCACAAAACCAGTGGGAATCTATTTACAAGAGCGGAAAGCATAGCTCGATACAACAATGTGTTTACACAACTCTACTTGATTTATAAACAAAGAGTTTTAAGATTACCTTCTCATTTTCATGTCCTGATTCACCAACCCATAGCTTCCCCTCAGAATCCTTTAAGAAAACAGCACTGTGACCTGCATATGATCCAGTAACCCACTTCTCAAGAGTCTCGAAACCACCCCATCGCCCACGAATTTTCGATAGTACCATGAAATCTCCCGAGTGTATATCGTCGACACTAATGTTTGAGTTCCAAGGCAGAAGTCGTGGTTCGAATGTAGCCCCCATGTGTTTCTCGAGAAACTGGAGATTGGCATTCTCACCCCATTGTGTGTTAGTAAACAAAGGGAAGACATCCCATAGAGCCTGAAGTGTTCCAAGCATCCCTGCTTGCATCATGAAAATAGAAATTCCCTTGTTTTTCACCTAATATTTTAGATACACCATAAAAACCATGAATGACTAATGAGTTTGCATGAAAGATGCATGATCGATCCAAAACGTACAGAGAAAGGAAACTTACGTATTCATACTCAGCTCTCTCTTCCCAGTCCTTGATTTCGAATGTATGCTCCCGAGATCGAAAATAATAATCCCATGTTACACGGTACGGAGTTGCAAATACATAAAGATCCATACAAGTCCAGCTATGGGCTCTGCTAACCTGGATAAGCACATTGATATCATTTTCACATCATTTTGTGCTGAATAACTCTAAACAATTCTACCATAGATAAACAAAAACCTTTCAAGAAGTATCCTCTAGCTTCACCAAAATACTCAACTCAATTAGTACTAAATTGCAGTACTAGACCATGGCATCATAATAGTTTTCAAGTATTTGTTGCATTTGCATTTATGGGGAAAAATATTACAAACAATGAACTCTCCCAGTTTCCACTCGCAATAACGATCCATCAAAACTGAAAAATTCAAACTTTAAGCACTTTCAGCTCAAACCAAGCACAGAAACAAGAACTCTTCAAAAACTTTGAAGAAATTAAGAACTTAAGCACTTTCAACTCGAACAAAGCAATACCCAGATTACAAAGAAGACTCCGAAACACTAAGAAGAAAGAGGCCAAAAGGTGTTACCTTGATATGGAGAGTTCCACCACCGAAGTCACTGCCACTCTTGTTATGGAACTCCATCCAAGCCGTGTTCTCATAAAAGCACGTACCTTTCCAGCTCACGATGTGGTTTTGGGACGAAACGGAGCCGACAAAGCTTGGCAAAAGGTCGGCGGCGTTGTTGAGTGAGTTGAGGATCGGCCATGAAACCTGTCTCGGCAATAGAGGGAGAACATCTCGAGGGTGAAATGGTGTTTTCATTGCTTGGACATGTGAGAAGAAGAAGGGTAAGATTAAGTAAAGTTGCAGGCAACATCGAAGAAAATAAGACGAGGCCATGATTGAGAGAGCACGAAGAAGAAAGCCCCTTGTTTTTTTTTTCTTTTTTCTGTTACCATGAGTTTGTTGTTTGACTACATTATAACTTCATGCAATACATAGAACTTTTACTGTAATTCTTTTTTGGAAGATTTGTAATTATTGAGTTGATTGCATCTTTTGTCCCATATATTTTTCTATTTTAAATATTTTTCTATTTTAAACTAGTATTAATTTTTTTAATTTTATCTTCAAATTATAATTTTTTTATAAGTTGATATCTAAAAAATTTAAACATTCTAAATTCATCTTCAAATTATCGATATTATTAATTATATCTCAAACTAATAATATTATGGGTAAAGTGCATAAATGGTCATCTAACTATAGGATATTACTTTATTAAGTCCACTGACTATTAGAAGTCCCAAAATGTCCTTTGACTCTAGGAAGTTATTTTGTTGAGTCCCTTGACTATTAAAAGTTACAATTTGAGCTGTACGTTAAACTACTGATTGAGATATGATAAAATTTGATCTTATAATCTCAAACGACTATCATATCTCAATCAGCATGTTAACGTCCAACTCAGATCATTGTTAATGTTTTAAAGAAAAAAGAAGAGTTTGAAACATAATGAATAGTCGAGTGACCATTTGTAACTTTTAATAGTAAGGGACCCAACAAAGCAATCTCCTATAGTCGAGGGACTATTTTGTAACTTTTGATAGTCAATGAACTCAATAAAACAATATCTTATAGTCAAGGGATATTTGTGTACTTTACCCTAAAATTATTAAACATTATAAATTATTATATAAATACCGACGTAATAATATAAAAGGATATAAATGATAATTAATGTCATATCATGTTTCTAAAAAACATTATTTAAAATGAAATGAACAGGTTTTTTATTTTTGTTCGTTTAATCTATTTATTATTTTTAAAACCAAATCATTATTTTATTTAAATTCAATATTAATTATCATTTATATCATGTCATGTTATTATATAATATACATTTGAATTTAGAGATAAAATTAAAATATTTAAAAAAAAATATTTTTAATTTACTTTAATTATATCAAAATGTTTTAAAAAACATATAAACTAATGTGAAAATAATATTCTGAAAATTATAGAAAAATAATATCTATAAGTTGGGATTAGAATAATATTTAAAAGAAGTAAATATAAAACACTAGAGACCAAAAGCAATTGAAAAGAGAAAGAAAGGGGGAAACTTCATTCCAACAAAGTGGGGGATACCAATTAGGTTTTTTTTCCCAATAGGACAAACCCAATTTTTTTTTTTTTTTGCATAATAAAACACAAATATTTTTTTATTTTGGGATTTACAATATTTTTTACAGTGCATAAATCTCGTATGATGAAATTGAGGTAAAAAATTTAAATAAAAATATTTTTTTTATTGTAACTCGACACCTCGACGTGACAAATTTTATGAACACTATTGAAAATTCTGTAAATTCCAAAATAAACGTCTACTTAACCCTATTTTCTCAAATAATTTACTCGTTTACCTTGGCCAAAAAACCTACCAATTTATCATTGCAACAATACTCTGTTTCCAACGGTCAGATTAAGGTTTGATCTTTTAAAAAAAATCAATTTATTTAATTTATAAAAAAACTTTATTTTTATTTAAAAATAATGAAAATTTAAAAACACCATTTTTTTTAATAACGAAAATAGAAACGTACAATGAAAATGATTAAAAAATTCAATTAAATAATTAAAATGTATAAAATGTATGTCACTAACATAATAAAAGAACATGAGAATATATTAACGTTTGATTTTATCACAAGAATAATTAAATTATTTATCAGTATGAGAGAACTAAGTGGAGAATTCAAAATAGGAATAGATCAATAAGATCTCTAAATAAATGTCAAATGCAGAGACAACAACAAATCCAACCTTTAAAAAAAACTAAGACAAAAACAAAATACAAGAACATATAAACATCTAATATTTTAACAAGGGAAAGACTTGTTCAACAAATGAAAATTAAAAAAAAGAGTTACTTAGATAGGTAAAATAAAATCTAATATATTCAACTAATATATATATATATATAGAAAAAAATAAAAATATTTAATAAATATTTTTAAAAGATGTTTGGGTGAAGTAAAGCAATGACGTTTTCCAGATTTCAATATCCCCACGCCTTTGCTCAATGGCCACTATTTTACGCTCTTAACATTCTTTAAACATTGCCATTTCATTTCACTGAACTTTTAGCTTCTCTCATACAAACCCTTTCGATGTCTATCTTGCGTCAACACGGTTTCCGTCGAGGTCTCTGACTCATGTTCTGACTAGCCCACGACTGAGCCCGATTGCTAGTTTGACATGTTCAGCTGCTACCACGGCCAAGCTTGAGTCCAATCGGAACTAATTGATCATTGGGCCACGGCTTGAGAGTAAACCGGACCTGGTTATTCCGGTTATCCCTAGGGGTGGCCCTCCTTTGCCGTGACCCAAGTTTGCAATCAATATGGTCTCACCGGGCATGGGTGGCAAGTGGTTGCACCAAACTTGTCTTCTCCCTAGCCGAGACTCTTATGGGTGCAGCCGATTCTCATATGCAATTCTAACCTATGGTAGCAGGCTATGTTGGGTATATTCTAGCCGACCTTTTGTCTGGGGTTTACCATTGGGGCATTGACAATTACAGTGTTTCATCAACTCCGGTTTTCAGTTCACAAATTGAAGGATTCCAGGGGCACCACAAATGGCCCTGGACTATCACTAGACGCCAGTTAGCTAACAACTTACATGCATTGGCTCGTAGCATAACTTTCACAGGGCTTCCTATAGATATTCTTTGCAATGACCCCGTTATTCAAGGATTTGTTACCACGTGTGCTGATTGCATCATGTTTAGTCAACAATTTCATGCCTGGTCTCATGGCACCAAGAGCATGCTCCCTCCATTGGTGGTGGCGCTCCAAGATGATGGTGTACTTGTCTCCCGGACGTAGCATTCTGCACACCATATGCCTCCATATAATAGCAACTACTGCATCGTGAGTGGCGCCTGCAATGAGTTTCTGGACAAGAACAAGGTTTTTGAGGAATTAGAGATGATTATATTTTTCAAGCTTGGGTGAAACCCAGGTCTTGGAGTGAACCTGGAATTGAATGGATAGAAGAGATGGATGAAACTGAATCTCAAGTTACAGTTCATTGAATTTTTTTCTCCTTTTCTATAAGCAAACATTCAAATGACATGTCGATTGTTTTTGTGGAGTTCAGGATTTGATGTATAGATATACTCATGAGCTTCTCCTGCAATAGCTTACATTATTAGAAAAGACTTGAAGATATAATAACATTTTGCAGGTAGAATTACCATTTATCAAATTAGGTCAAAATTCAAACATAAACAGTTGGAAAGTTACAACACACTCGATTTTTTTAAAAAAAAAAGAGGAGAGAGAGAAAGAGTGGGGAAAGGGAAGAATAGTGTTAATTATCAGCCCCAAATGAGGAGATGGAGGATACACAGGGGAACCAATAACGTCGTCTTCCATCTCTATGACCATCATCGATCATTGCAAGCCCTTCCTGCATCAGCCAACAGGGATTTTGTGAGCCCTAAACATCTAAAATAAATGTCGCAGTAAGATGATAAACATGGCTGTCTTTGCAACAACTTACGTCTAATAAAGTATCAAGGGCGTCAATGGCACGTCCATGTGTCCAGGAAAGCCGTCTCTCTACCTCATCAACAGTCACATAGCCTTGAACCTGAGAGAGAAACAAATAGAGCATCAACTAAACAACTATTTGCATAAGGTACTTGTTGCACCACAATAGAAGTATCACTAACTTGTGTCAGCTCCAGAATTGCATTATGATCTTTATTCAACTCAGTTGGAACAGATCGAACAAGCTTTTTCTTTCCAGCAGAAATCACCTCAAATCCACTACCCAATGTCTGGAGAATTAAAGCAGTAAATGCATTTAAAAATGACAACATATAAACTAATCTAACTTTGTATCATACAACACCATTATAGACCACGTGGATGTCAGACCAGCAAGCAACAATACAATTCAACAACTCTTCAATGAAAAATGTAGCTCGAAACGAAGGAAAAATGATCTGCCTTCTCAGGCTCTCCCTCTAATCCTGAGACTTGAAAAGGGAAAGCGAGATTGCTGGAAAACTCACAATAATCAATATACCTTCAGCTTACTTATAGCACGCAAACAATCATCCTCGGATACAGCTTCACGATCATGTTTTCGTTTCTGACAAAGCAATTTGCAGAGTTCCTGCAGGTCGATCAAACCTCCACAAAGAAAAGCAGACAAAGAAATTGTGACCTAAAAGACGGATTTTTTCGAATATCATTCTGCGAAAAAAAATATAGAAATGAGAAGAAATAAAAACTAAATCATTGAAACTCGTGAATTTTTTTAGACAACTTTTGTTTACCTTGTGTTTTCGAGCGAATTCTTCGAGTTGGGAACGAAAAGTGGCGAGCTGCTCTTTCATAAGATCGATTCTTAACTTGGCTACATTTTCTCCCAATACTCGATATTGATCCTGAAATTAAAAAAGAAATTGCACAATCAATTACAAGTAGAATTTGTCGGCTGCAACTGAGATTAATTTCGATAATCGTAATCAAATTTAAATTGATTTCAGAAAACAAACCCTAGCAGCTGCAGCTGTTTGAAGGCCTCCGATTCCAGGTCGTCTTCTCATTTTTTTTTCCTCTTGAAAAATATGATCTGGTTCTCCTTTCCTTCTCTGCTTTTCTCAGGTGGAACTTTTGGTTTCACGCGGTTTAATTGTGGTTTTCGTAATTTACTCCAATTTTTGATTTGGGCCTTTTATTACACGCTAGGGGTCTTCTCGTAATTTACTTGTGTTCCTTTTTATATTCTGCAATAATTCTCTAAACGGAAACAGTATGCTTCATATTTCTAGTTCATAATGAAATGAACTCATCGTCTTCCCAAGATCATGTTCAAAAGAAACAAAGTTAAAGTTGTCTCTGTTATCA